TTTAATGTATGGTTTTTATTTAAGAATTAAAATTTATATATTATGTGGCCAAAAATACAAACAATTCAGAAAAAGTATAATATGAAAAGCTAAACCATCCCTCTAACAGATCAGATGCTGTTCTATAACAGCTTTCTTTGTATTTTGTTGCTTTTTCCATATCATCACATTGAGACCTTCTTTATTCTTCTTAGTGGCAGTTTTCCATTCTTTTTTTTTGGTGCTGGGAATTGAACTCAGGTCTTTGCGCTTGCAAGGCAGGCCACCAAACTGCTGAGCTAAATCCCTGGCTCTCTTTTCCATTCTTTATAGATGGAAAATATTACACAGGTAAACACACATGTCTCATTTTACTAGATCTCTTTGTTTGCTAAGTTGGCTAGATGTTTTGTAATTTCATTATATTGGCCAGTTATTTTTATTTCTTTAACTCTGATTAAGATTGAACATTTTTTTCATATCTTTATTAGTCATTAATATATTTTTTCTGCACACTGTTGAAACGGCTTTTTAAATTTACTATAGAAGGGCCGGGGATTTAGCTCAGTGGTTCTGCCACCTGCCTTGCAAGTGCAAGGACCCGAGTTTGATCCCTGATACCCAAAAAAAAAAAAATTACTTTAGAAGTAAACTTTCACTGTCTTATTTAATGCCAAGCACTGTGCTAAGTGTTCTAACAAACAAGTTCTCATGAAATCCTTTTAACTCTGAAATACAAAATTATTTCTGTAGTACAGATGAGAAGACTGTGGCCCAGAAAGGTTGATAAACTTGCCCAAAGTTGCAGGTTTGTGAGTGGACAAAACCATGCTTTAATCCCATGAATGTCTTATGCTTTGCCCCCCAGATTTTGTAAAAGACTCTTTCAGAGCAGACTATAGACATGTATTAAGGTCGGGAAAAATAAAATGCATATTATATATATGCAAGCTATATAAAACATTTTGTGAATGTAAAAGCTGTAAGATTGAAAAAGGCCAATTATAAAACTCTGAGTTTATAACCATAGAGTCTCAGGCAAAGACAGACAATCCTGATGTTTGTGATGTCATAAGGCTTTTACAGAAGCATTGACCCAAAAGGCAAAAGCCATGTCCCCTGGAGCGTGTGACATGTAAAATACATGTACATTCTGCTGAATATGGCAAAAGCAAGATATGTTCTACCAACTGGCAAACAGATGAAATGCTAATTTGCATAGACAATAATGGTTTTACACAGTCAATACTATCATTTTAATGACTGTGATAAAAACTGTATTCATGATAGTGCTTTTAATATTTACTGACTTAGGAGAGGTTAGTTTTTCCATAGAAACTCTGCCAGTTGGATCGTTACGCTGTTGGTTTATTATGATCAGCAATGATCTTATAATAAATTTCTCTCATTTCTTTGTGTCACCTTTCCATCCCTCCTTCCCTTGTTTTATAGAATACTGCAGTTAATTCTGAATGCCACAGAAAAAGTCATCAGCTGGATGACTTTTTGGAAGACACTGCTCATGAGCTCTGGGCTATGACTCATGATAAGAACTTGGGGTCAAAAACCTTACACACCCTAGGGGCCAGTAAGGACAGCCCAGACCTGGAGACCATGATGCTCCGAATGGAGGAAATGGAAGTAAGGTCGGGGGCTGCTGATATGGTTATCCACTGAGCACTCACCTCTGTTCTTTCTCACGTCTCTAGTGTTTAATATGTCAGAGTTATGTGGTTCTGCTTCTGAGTCCCAGCTCGGTTACCAACTAAGTGTATAACCTTATAGTCACTTTCTCTCATCTAATAAGTAAGGATTTTGAAAATAGAACGAGGCATCGAGATTCAGCATACTGTCTGACATGTAATCCACTTAGCGATCATTATTATTGTCCCCCTAACAGCAGTGATTTTGTGACTCCAAAACCACTGGGGTCAGGATTTAGTTCCACAAATGGGAGCATAGACTTGTTTCATCTGACAGTTTGTAAGTACTCTTCACTTGCTTCTTCTAGAAGCAAGAGTGTAATCTTCTCTAGAAGCAAGAGTGTAATATTCTCAAGTCACAGATAATATCAATTTCTATAATACTACTTTTAGAATGTTTTTCTCATAAAACCTCAGATCTCAGACATTACTCAACATAAGCCTTGGATTATTCAGAGCAGTTAAATTGAGACCCACAGTGAAAAAGTGATATGCCTCAGGTCACACAAAAAAATTGCTGGGAGTGCTAGGATGAGAATTCAAGTTTCCTGGCACCAAGTTAAGCATTTTCTTTTTAATTATTCTGTGATTAAATCTCATTTAGTTTTTGCTGCTAAATAGGAAAATTACACAGAAAATAAATTTTCGTTGATTTTTGAAATTTAAAGATACACATTTCCTTAGTCTGGCAACTGCTTTCCCTTTCTCGGGTATAACTGTCCAGGCCTGAGTTGTCCCCAGTAGTAGCTGCCAAGCACATCTGCTTGTTGAAATGTAAATTAATTAAAATTAGAACACAACTACAAGTGATTCGTAGTTCATGGATACTGTTTTAGACAAGGCACATAAAGAACATTTTGTCATCACAACAAGTTTTAGTGGACAGTGCTGGTCCAGATTGCAGCTATGTTAATTGCATTATTTTATTGTAGTCTTCACCTCTTGATCATGTCCTGATCTGGCAGTCCTGGTCTGGCAGATGCTCATTCCTAGCAATTTGTCTGTATTGATGGTGTCTCCTGAACTTTTCCATCCTTCCTAGGTCTGTTTTATAATGAAACTCATTTCTTCTCATAAATAAAACTTTTTTTTTAAAGAAATACCAGGAGACAGTTCGCCAAAGATACAGTAAAATTGTATACGCTGATCCTCATTTATGGATGCAGGAAGAAAGAAATGGTAGGTGTTTTCCCCGCTTTTCTCCCCAACTTTGTATTCCAAAACATTTCAAATATATAGAAAAATTGATTAAAATTATACAGTGAATTCTCATATACCCACCTTCTATGTTGTACAATTAATATTTTGCAATATGTACTTTTTCACTTATCTCTTTATTCTTCTATCCATTAGTTCATCATTTCTTCAACCCTGGCACTGAACTATACATCCCCAGCATTTTATTTTTCATTTTGAGACAGGGTCTTGCTAAGTTGCCTAGATGGGACTTGAACTTGTGATTCTTCTGCCTCTGCCTCCCAAATGCTGGGATTACAGGCATGGTTGCCACCACATCTGGCCTATCAGTTCATCATGTCTTTGCATTTCAAATGCATTTCAGAGTAGGCTGGGGATGTGGCTTAAGAGTAGAGTGCTTACTTAGCATGCCTCGGGCCCTGGGCTCAAACTTCAGTACCACAAAAGAAAAAAATAAAATAATCAAAGTTGACAGTTATCAGAACACTTCACCTCTAAATATGCAGCATGTACACCAGCTAGAGTTTAATATTTATGGTTCTTTTTTTTTCTGAGATAAAATTTGCATACAACAAAATGCACAGATCTTAACTGTCATTTGATAGGTAATGCTTATCAAGACATAGCACACATCACCACCTCAGAAAGATCCCTCATGCCCTTCCCAGTCAGTTCCCCACCACCAGGCTCTACTTGGTAAATGACTTTGATTATTCTGGAATTTCATACAAGTGCTATTGTAATTTAATTTAGCATAGTGTTTTGTAGATTTATTTATGTTGCTTATTTGCTGTTGCTACTTTAACAAATTTAAGTTTACAAACAAATTTAATTCATAGATTTAGTGACTTAAAACATAAATTTATTCTGTTGCCATTTTGGAGGTCAGAAGTCTGAAGTGAGTTTTACAGGGCTGAAATCAAGGTGCTAGGGGTGTAGGTAGTGCTTTCTGGAGCTTCCAGAGAAAATGTGTTCCTTAAATTTCTTCCAGCTTCTTAGATTGTTGGCATTCATTATCTTTATTACCCCAATCTCTGCTTCCATTTTCACATGGCCTTTTCCTCTTCTATAGTCAAATCTTCCTCCGTTTACTTATTATAAGGACACTATGGTCACATTTAGTGCTTGCCAGTAACCCAGGATAATCTCCCTATCTCAAGATCCCTAACTTAATAAAAGTCTCTTTTGCAATAAGGTGACATTCACAGGTCCCAGGGTTAGGATATAGACATCTTGTGGGGCCAGTATTCATTCCACCACACTTGAATCAGTAGTTCATTCCTTTTTACTGCTGTGATATACATACCACATGTCTTTTGTCAGTTTCCTATAGATTCATATTTGGTTGCTTATATTTTGGGGCTATCAGGAATAGATCTGCTATGAATATATTCATGTATAATTTTTGTATGGACTATAAATTTTTTGTATCTCTTGGATAAATACTTAAGACTTTCCAGGTCATGTGATTGGTGTATTTAACTTTATAAAAAATGGCCAAACCTTGGCCAAAGTGGCTATACCACTTAAGGTACCCATCAACATTCCTGTCTGCACTGAGCTTCACTTGTTCCATGTCCTTTGCCCCATTTTTGGTGGTATCAGCCTTTTTAATTGTAATCATTCTGGTGGGGATTTAGTGATATCTCATTGTTTTAATTTCATTTTCTTGTTGTTTCTTATGGGGGTGAGTACTAGAGACTGAACCCCAGTAATTTACTTTTCTTGAGTAGTAATGATACTTGCTACCTTTTCCTATGATTATTAGTGTTGTGGTTTGGATCTGGAATGTCCCCCAAAGCACATGCAATTAGAGACAGGGCATTTGGAAGGTGATTGGATCATGGGGTGTGATATTCATTCATGCATTAATCCGTGATTGAGTTCAGAACTAAATGTGCTTTTAAGAGGTGAGAAGGCCTTGTTGGAAGAAGCAGGCCAGTGGGCATGTGCCCCTCTATTTTCCTCCTCCCTTCTCTCTCCTTCCTGGCCGCCAAAACATGAGCAGCCTTCTTGTGCCAAGCCATGTCTGTAATTGAGTCAAAATAAACCTCTCCTCTAAGTTCCTAGCATGTAGTATTTTGTGCTAGCAATGACAAAAGTGACTAAGGCAGTAAACTACTTGTATATCATCCTATGTGCAGTGTCAAAAATTACTTGTCTTTTTAAAAAATTGGGTTTGTCTTTTTATTTTAGAATTGTAGGGCTCCTTTATGTGTGCTGGGAGCAAGTTCATGTCAAATGTATTGGCTTTTGTTGTTGTTGTTATTTTTTAATTTGCTCATTGGTTTTTGTTTTGTTTTGTTTTTTTGTCTTTTTGTCTTTGGTAGTGCTGAAAATCAAACCCTTGTGCTCTACCGCTAGCTCTATCCCCAGCCCTGTTTTGTTTTTCTGAAATAACAACTTTACAGAGATGTAATTCACATACCATAAAATGCACCCTATTATGTGTGTGGTTTATAGTTTTTAGTATATTCACATAGTTGTGCACTTATCACTTCTTTCTGAATTCCAGGACATTTTCATCATCCAAAAGGGAAACCTGTTATCCTTTAGCTCTTACTCCCCAGTCTTCATTTCTGACTCCTGGTGCTCACTAATCTGAGATAAATGTTTTGCAAATATTTTCCCCCTCTGTGGCTTCCCTATGTATGTTCTAAAAGGCATTAAATTTTTAATTTTGAGAAATCCAACATCAGTTTTTTCTCATATGTTTTTGGCGTTATATGGTCTAAGGAAACTTTACCCACCCTCAGGATAAGATTTTGTTTTGTTTTGTTTTCTTCCAGAAGCTTTATGGTTTTAGCTTTTATGTCTAGATCTGTGATTCTCTTTTGGATAAGGCTTTTTTTTTTTTTCCTTACCTGATGTCTATCCACATGTTCTAGCACTATTGTTGAAAAGACTTTGGCTTTTCTCCTCCACTTTTCAAAATTCATATATACACATTTTGGCTGCAATTGCTAGGCTACTGTCACAATTTTGGCTGGGAAGTATTAATCAAATTCCATCTGACTCATGCTTCTCAGTTATTGCCTTCCTCAGTGAAAGAAGGAGAATAAAATATGATTAAGTATTTACTTCCAAAGGAATTTAAGTACTATGAGTACTATACTTACTAGAATTGTAAAGAAAATTAGGGGTAGAGAAGGTTTACAAATGCATATGTCACATATAATTATTTTAAAATACGAGTTCAGAGTCTTATCTTGGAAAAAGAAATCTGTGTAAAATTTTGGCAGAAAGATGAGCCACCTAAACACAATATTAATGTGTTCTTCTTACACTGTGTAATTTTCAAGCAGAGTTTTCTGTTCCTGTTGTTCTTTTCCTTCTTTTCCTCCCAGCACTGCTCCAACCCTGGTTCTTATCCTCACAGAGCAAGCACCTGAGTATTCAAGGCACAGCTCATTGGATCCTACTTATGCAGTTCTTTTCCTAATGTAGGCTAAGCATCCTTAAGCTCAAAATCTAAAATGCAAAATACTTTCAAAGTTTATTGGAGTTTTAGATTTTCACATTAGGGAGATTTACCCAATTATGTCTATGCAAATATTGCAAAATCTGAAGATCTTCAAAATCTGAAACACAAATCCTAACCACTTAGGATAAGGGTACTTGACCTTTATCTCTGTGCTAGACTTTTGCTGCCTTCCTCCATTTTTTGTCTTTGAACTCCCACAGCACTTTCTAGCATGCTCTACCATGTGGTAGAGCTGTTTGTGAAAATGTCTTATCTCTTCCAACTGAGCCACAGATTCTTTGAGACCAAAGAGTTCTTCTTAGTCATGTCCTCAACTGCCTTCCGAAGGGGCCCTTCCAATCACTCTTAATCATTTTAGCCTCCTTCAGATGGAAACAGGAAAGGGAAACATTGAAGAGCAATTTGTTTCATGGGAGGTTTGGTTGACATCACATAGAAGACAGTCTTAGGGAGGATTTCTCATTCTTTCTTTTCAAGGAAAATTTAAATTATGGCCACTATCTAGGATTTTGCATAGATCCTAGGTGTGCAATGAAAAAGAGCTCTTTAGAATATTAAGACCGGAGGGCCAGGGATTTAGCTCAGTGGTTCCACCGCCTGCCTCACAAGCACAAGGAACTGAGTTTGATCCCCGGTACCAAAAAAACAAAACAAAACAACAACAAAAACACCTAATATTAAGACCTGAAATGAGTTTTTAGATATTTGTAATTTCAGATTATGAAACTATAATAAAAATCTTATGTTTCCACTTCTGCTTATTTGCTAAGTTGCATCATAAAACCAAATTTAAAGTGATCTTTGAATTGTACAGTATCTAATCTATATCTCTTAGGCTGATGAACAATTAAAAATTATACTCAGTTATATTTTTACAAAAGTTAACCCAGGCAGTCTGACAGTAAGAAATTATAAGCATATGAGTCAAAGAAAGTTATGTGACATTTAGATGGTCCCTACCAAGAAGGACAGATGAGCTTCCTACACTTGAAATACATTAGAAATGATCTAAAACTCTGAAGAGGTGTCAATCCTGCAAGTTGTAGTTAACAAATTAATGTTTTGACTATCATCACGCAGATTTTTTTCCAGCAGTGCCCAGAGACAAATTAAATCAGCTAATTAAGTGTTTAGGTGTGAGTGGTGTTTTTCTTAAATAATCAAAGCATTTAAAGGTCAAAAAATAAACTTAGCTGCTTCAGACTCCTTGAATGGGTAGCCAGTGCTAATGCCACTCAGCATAGTCTAGAGCCTTGAACAGACCTCCAGAAGTCTTCCTCGCAGCTGACAGAGGCTTGGAAAGGAGTTCCTTCTTTCTTAACACTGAGTCTTCATTGGTTTGTTTTTCTAACTTTTAAACTCACCTTTGCATTTAAAACAAGAGTACTTTTTCCTTTTGAACTGCTAGTTGTGTCCTTTATGCTTAAGAGATATGTGTGTGTTGGGGCCGGGGATTTAACTCAGTGGTCCTGCCGCCTGCCTCACAAGCACAAAGTCCCGAGTTTGATCCCCAGTACCTAAACAAAAAAAAAAAGAGAGATATGCATGTGACTTCCTCCTAGGTTATTGGCCATTAAGAGAACTCTTAAGACAGGCATCAGTTTTCATTACATGCTATCACTTTGTCCTTCTTCTTTTCTAGATCAGAAAACCCCAGCAGTAAATGAAAGGTCACTGCCTCCTCCTCTAATCAGGATCACAAAGGCAGCACTTGGCAAGGATCCAGCAGTTACCATCATGTTAGAAAAGCCCTGCAATGCCGAGTAGGTGTTAGGAACCTTGTCTGTTTTTGGGCTAGTTGGTTGTCTTTGACTTATTGAGTTCCAGGGTCCTTCAGTTTCCTTAAGACAGAGGGGCGTTCTTAGAGCAAGATCTGCAAACTCAGTAAAACTGTGGATCTGAGACGGACATTGAATGTGTTGCATCTTTGGGGACCTTTTGGTACTCAGCAACAGTCAGCTGGCTAGTCATATTGAGAGCATTACTTTGGTACATGTCGGTTGTGCTAGTTGTTTACTGCATGATTTGCTCTCAGAATTAGTGTAAGAAACAGTAATGCTTATGGGGTTGAGGATGAGCACAGTGAAAGGGGAATAATGAATAGTGACAAGATGTTGAGTTTTGTTCAATAGGAAAAAAAGAAATGAAGGAGAGCTTTTGATTTAACAAACCATCAGGGTAAATTAACAGTTCACTCTAGTTCACCAATGATTTTGAATGCCTTCATCCTCTTTATTTCTTTTCAGTTCCCTAGATGAAAGTGTAGAAACAGAGAGATCAGAGAGAAGAGAGACTCCCCTTCCCTCTGTTGCAGAAGACTCCCAGCAGAGGAAAGGCTGGACTCCCCTGTTTGTCCCACGCAGCATGCAGCACAGCATTGATGACTACTGCAGCCGGTTTGAGCAGTACCTCCGGATCATATCTCATGAGGCTGTAGGCTCCTTCAACCCATGGCTGATAGCTGAAAGGTCAGTGAAACGTGTCTGCGTCTGTATAGGAACCAAGTGCTAGATTTTAGACTTATAGAAAAGCTGGACAAAGGACTGGTGAAGGGCTTACGCCATGCTTGTGGGCCCTGGAGTTGCAGTGGTTGATTGGGCTAAAGGGCAATTTTTCTCTGTTAATTGAGACCATAAAGCATCATGAGCTTTGCCACCCCTAGAAGCACTCTGCAGCCTTCTCAGGCAGTATCTTAGCTCAGGCTGCCCTAAAATACTGCAGATTAGGGGACATAAACCATAGGAATGTATTTCTCACAGTTCTGGAGACTAAGAAATCTAAGATTAAGGTGTTTGGTGAATGTGCTCTTCCTGACTTGTAGACAGCTGCTGTCTTAAGTCCTCTCCTAGTAAAGTAAGTTCTTGCTTCTCTTCTTTTTCTTTTCTTTTCTTTAATTTTCTTCTTTGTTTGTTTGTTTGTTTGTTGAGACAGCTGTATAGTTCAGGCTGGCCTTGAACTTACTATGTAGCCCGGGTTGCCCTCAAACTCTAGTGATCATCCTGCCTCAGCTTCCTGAGTGCTGGGATTAGAGGCATGCACCAGCATGCCCTACTTCTTCCCCTTTTTAGAAGGTTACTAATTTCCTTTTGAGAGATTTTTATCTAGATTTAATTGCCTTTCAAAGGCCTCATTCCAAATATGATCACATTGGAAGTTAGAGCTTCAGTGTATGAATTTTGAGGTGTGGACATAAACTTTCAGTTCTGAAGTACAGAGGTATGACCAAGAGTTAATATAGAGCTATTTTCTTGTTGCTGGAAAGGTGACATCCCATCAAAGGACATAATATACTGCTGGGTGGGAAAAGGTCATGATGATGAAATCTTGGTTGGGGCCACACTTGCCTTTATAAGCAGCAAGCCTCTGGCTGCAGCATTTTTATCCACCCTTCTGTGGGTCATCTTTTCCAGGAAATGGAGCTGTGTAGCGTCAAAATATGATCCCACAGCTACTAAAGTTTGAAGAATGGATAATCTTTTATGAATACTATACTCTAAAACCATTCTTTTTAGAGAGAGTCAAAATTTAAATTCCTCATGGATATCATTTTATTAGAAACATGCAAGACAGAGTGACTCTTACCCAAATTCTGTTCCCAGCCTAAAAATAAATAAAAGCATGCAAAATATGTTTCATTATTGAGATAGGTAGTATTATGATTACATTTCTTCCTTAAACAAGTTTTTAAAATATTCCAGGAGTTAATAATTGCCTCCCTTTTTATTCTTTGCTTCTTCTTTTACATGTTTATTAACTTTCTGCATACACTAGCTAATAATCTGTTAATTTTCCTGATAAACAAAGATATCAGTTAGCCTTTTTTGCAGCAAGTTTGCTGTGAAAGCACAGGTGTTGCAAAAAAGCACCACTAAATCAAAGTCAACAGGGGAAAGTAAAAAGCTCATATCAATATCATAATCATCCTGACAGTGAATTCAGGCTGGTCTACCACTACAGGTCATCCAGTCTATAAATGTGGTGGCATTGACAAAAGAACCATTTAAAAACTTGAGGAGTCTGCTGAGAAGGGGAAGCTTTCCTTCAAGTACGCCTGGGTCTTAGATAAGCCAAAATTTACCATGAGTGTGTATCTTCATTGACATCTCCCTGTGAAATTTGAGAGCAGCAAGTATTATGTGACTATCGTTGATGTCCCAGGACACAGAACCTTTATCAAAAACTCAATTACAGGGCTAGGGATTTAGCTCAGTGGTGCCGTGTCATTCCTGCCTGGCAAGTACAAGGACCTGAGTTCAATCCCTGATACTGCAAAAAACAAAAAACAAAAAGCAAACAACAAAAAAAAACCACCTTGATTACAGGCTTGTCTCAGGCTGACTGTGCTGTCCTGATAGTTGCTGCTAGCGTTGGTGAATTTGAAGCTGGTATCTCCAAGAATGGGCAGAACGGTGAACATGCCCCTTCTGGATGTGAAACAACTAATTGGTGTAACAAAACAGATGCCACTGAGCCACCCTCCTGGAAGAAGAAATATGAGGAAATTGTTAAGGAAGTCAGAATGTATACATTAAGAAAATTGGCTACAACCTGACACAGCAGTTTTTCTGCCAATTTCTGGCTGAAATGGTGACCAACTGCTGAAGCCAAGTGCTAATATGCCTTGGTGGAAAGTCACTCATAAAGGTGGCAATGCCAGTGAACCCACACTGCTTGATGCTTTAGATTGCATCTGACCACCTATTTGATCAACTGACAAGCCTTTGTATCTGCCTCTCCGGGATGTCTGTGGGATTGGTAAATACTGTCTCTGTGGTTCACGTGGGGACTGGTGTTCTCAAACATGGCATGGTGGCCACCTTTGTTCCAGTGTCACAGCTGAAGTAAGGTCTGTTGAAATGCATCATGAAGCTTTGAGTGAGGCTCTTCCTGCGGACATTGTGGGCTTCAATGTCAAGAGCATGTCTGGCAAAAATATTCATTGTGGCAACGTTGCTGGGGGCAGCAGAAGCGACCCACCAATGGAAGCAGCTGGTTTCACTGCTGAGGTGATTATCCTGAACCATCCAGGCCAGATCACAGCTGGCTATGCCCCTGTACTAGGTTGTCACACAGCTCACATTCTTGCAAGTTTGCTGAGCTAAAAGATCCATCACTCATTGCCGGTCTGGTGAGAAGCTGGAGGATGACTCTAAATTCTTGAAATCCGGTGATGTCACCGTCATTGATAATGCTCCCAGGCAAGCCTGTGTTTATTGAAAGCTTCTCTGACTCTCCTCCTCTGGGTCATTTTGCCTTTCACAATGTGAGGCAAACAATTGTGGGTGTCATCAAAGCAGAGGACAAGAAGGCTGTTGGAGTTGGCGAGGTCACCAAGTCTGCCCAGAAAGCTCAAGAGGCTAAATGAATACTATCATTAATACCTGCCATTCCATACTTAGTCAGTGGCGGAAGACCAGTCTCAAAACTCTCTTCCAGTTGGCCATTTAAGTGTAATGACAACAGTGCCTTGCAAAACCTTCAGAAGGAAAGGGGAATGTTGTGTGGATCATTTGTTTTTTTTTGTGTGTGTGGCAGTTTTAAGGTTTTTTTGTGGGTTTTTTGTTTTTTGTTTTTTGTTTTGTACCAGGGATTGGACTCGGGACCTTGTGTTTGTGAAGCAGGTGGTGGAACCATTGAGAGCTAAATCCCCAGCTTAAGTTATTTTTTAAATCAACATTTTTTAATGGAAACAACTCAACCAAAAATCTGTCACAGAAGTTTAAGATCTATTAAAACAAAGTTTTATAAGAGAAAAATAAAATAGCAGTTAATCCCTATTTTTCAACCTCACCTCTGCTTTTTTTCTAGAGGGCCCTGTCCCTTCCTTCCACATTAATCTGGCCTGTCTTCACTTCTCTGCCAAGTGGCTCTCGTTCTGGGCCATATTGAGTGTGGGTTTCCTTCCTCCCATATTAGCTTCTTCACTTTTAGTGTCCGTGTCGGCCACTTTCTTGGTTTACTCTCTTGATATTCTTTATTCTGCTTTGGTATTGGAGGAAATTTCTTGAGACTTAAAAGTTTGTATCTCTTTTTATACTTGACTGATGATTGAGCTGAGGTTATTTTTTTAAATATTTAGTAGACTAGGATCAAATTTAGGGCCTTACACATGCTTGGCAAGCACTCTACCATTAAGCTATCACTCAGTCCTTTTAAAATTGCATCTTAAAGCTAGGCGTGGTGGTGCACGCCTGTAATCCCAGTATTCCGGAGGCTGAGGGAGGAGGATCGCTGTGAGTTCGAGACCAGCCTGGGCTACATAGTGAGTTCCAGGTCAGTTTCAACTACATAGTGAGACCCTGTCTCAAAAAAAAAAAAAAATTGCATCTTAAGACAGTTTTGCTAAGTTACCCAGCTGGACTTGCACTTGCGATCCTCCTGCCTCAGCCTCTGTAAGTAGCTAGGAATTACAGGTATGCGCCCCACATCTGACTGCACTGAGTTTTAAATTACTGGTTTATATTTTTTAAGGAATATACCTTCTTTCTTTTGTGGGGGTAGAGAAGAGATTGTCACTTAACTGCCAGAAGTAGGAGTGGAAATCTGTCAGTCTAACCACTCAGAGATATGCAGGAACAAGAAAACCTATTTTTGTTCTATAAATTTCCAACCAGTTTTCTATCCCACATCTTGCCCCACTTGAGCCTTTCTGATGTTTGTGGGCAGATCAGCTTGCTCATCCTTAGCACCCCTACAGACCCTTAGGTCTCAGCTTCCTCTGGACTTGCTCTTTTCTGCTCAGTGAGTTATGATTCTTCATGTGGTTTTTACTCTCTGAAAAATCTGACCATTTCTCATCTACTTTTGTCCTTTTCTCTTTATACATTGATGTATTTGTTTATCTATTTCCTTGTGTTTTGGTGGGATTAGGGGCAGGATCAGTGATAATCATTTTTGATGAAGCCCTCAGGTTAACCTAAAGTCTTAAATCTTGTCTTCAGTATAGGACCCTTCATTGTGATGATTGTGCCATTATTCCCAGGGGAAATACAGGATTACATTTCTTTTAGTATCTGGTCAACATTTTCATCAACTGATCAATACAGAGCCTTGTTTTATATTTCTGTTTAGATACATATATATTTGATTCATTAACATTGAATTACTCGTGACCAAAAGTGCAATAGCTTATACCTGAACAAAACTTACCTAACACACTGTCTTTGCAAGGCACACTACAGCCTTCCTTCCTGGACTTAGGAACATAACCTGCCAGCACTTAAGTACTACGCTGTATTGGATTGTGTTTTGTAAGCATATTCCTGAATTAGAACTGCACAGAAGATAACTACCAAAAAATAAAAAAGGACCAAAAGGGAAAATAAATGGCACTAAAGTTCTAATCATGAAGATTTTGATATATATTGATGCATAGGTTAATTTTAAACATTTTTCCATATAACTTTAATCTGCAGAAAAGCTAGAGAACAATTTCTCAGATGGTCACATGGCTGGCTTACTTTGCTAC